TCCCACTCACCAAATACAGTCACAAATCGAAGGAGGTTAGTATTAGTTACTAGCTCGCACTTCTAATCGTAGCCAATGTCGGCGGTCGAATGCAGTTTAAACTTATTTAATCTTTCATATATATATATTACCATAGATTAATGTTCAGTTGGTAGAAATTTTTGATACAATGAAAACACCCTATTGGAAGCTCAATAAATAAGAAATGATTGTTTCCACTTTTCCTGAATTTCTCAACGATTTATGAAATATTGTCGTGTTCGGAGCTCAGAAAAAAATAATTTGAGTAGTTCAGAACCGCACTTGGTCTTTGGCTTGTGTTTAGAGAAGCGGTTCAGCTGCAAAGCTCTAGTTATCATTGTGGAAGAAAACGTTAAATTGCGCACTTTTTTATACTAAACATGCTTTTACCAATGTTGGTAGTTTTCAGGCAAAATGTGAAGATTCAACGCTGGTGTTAAAAACTCGAAAACCAATACTTTGTATTTAAAAAAAATGGCACCCATCTTAAGCTGATCAATTTGTATAGATAGCTAAAGCAGTTTATATTTAGGGCGCCTTTGGTTGGGCCCCTAACGAACTGGAAAAAGCGATTCAGTTTCGTGTTTTATTTAATTTAGCGCCACTTTTGTTTTCGTATTTTGCGGATATAAAATTTTTTGAATAAAATAAATTAAGCACTGAATAATACCAATGGAAATTTGTCGAGTTCAAACCAAATCAATTTCCAAGTTTCCCTCAAGCGGATTATTTTGCGAGACTTAAATTTACTTTTGTAATTCTTCACGCGAAGAATCGGCAAAGGATTTTATTTTAGTTTAAGCGGGGAACTCGGTTTAATCTCGACAATGTAGTTTAAGAAGATTTAGCACGAGCATCGGAATTATTTCGTTGTGGAAAACTGCATTTTATGTGGTTGCAGCGATGTATATAATTAATTTAAAAACGTTTTATGAACTGTTGGCCATAATTAATTTTGCACATTATTCGCATTCACAGGTGAAATTAGAATATAAGCAGTAGTTAAGTAATCAAAAGATGAGATTTTCTATGGGGAAAGTGAATGAAAATAATCAGAAAGTTTCAAAATCGGTTAACAATTTTCTAGGAAGCGCGTGCGTCCATTTGCTTTCCAGGCAAAGCAGACCCGTCTGGATCCATCCAGTCAGCATTTGATTTCCTTTAGCAGCGTTCCGTGCCTCGACTTTGCCGTTCTTTAATCCCGGAAATACGCAGAGTTCGGCATTGCATCCGAGAAAAGTTCCCGAACACCCATTAGAGAGACTTAGAGAATTGGAAATAGTTTGTTCGCTGGAACATTTTTGAAATAATTTTGCCCACATTGCGAACAGTTTCCTTTCATGGCAAGTTTCCAAACCAAAGCAAACTGATTTTGATTAATTGAATTGGAAGTGAATTTTATTGAGCAGTAATTAGTGTTGCTTCGCTTGTAATGTAGCTGGAAAAAATCTACATACGTGAAATGCACTATTAGAGCTAACGTGTGGGAAATGTGTTGAAACAAAGAATTTGTACCTGGTGTTTAACAGACCACGATATTTTGTGCAACGAACTCTCTGAAAGGACATGATGAATAGTGTTTCTGTTTTTGCGTTTGTTGCATTTATTGCATTTTGCGGTGGACTTTCGACGCCAGCTTGTGTCTGTGACAAGCGAGAATGTGAGATTGTTAATAATGTGGAATGTCCTGGAAAGGGGGTGATTGTTTGGGATCCTTGCAAGTAAGTCCATGCATGTCTGCTGATTAAAGTATTTTAAAACTTCATTAGGAAACTATTCTTTTTTAATTGCTTGTTAAAGATAATTGCAATGAAAGCACATTTATTAGACCATTAGAGGAATGTTAATGGTAATTACACTGGCCGAATAGTTTCTCAATTAATAACACAATTGAGGAAAGAGTTTTAAGTAATAAATATACGCTTTGAACCTGAATCAAGCCCCTAAGGCGGTTGATATGTGGGATTTTTCAATACTGCGGTATGAATTGACTAAAAACTCATACATTTCACACATTTTCCTATCTAGTTTTCGTTGATAATAACGGCTCTACTTGACGCTCTGATATACCTAAAAATGTGTATGTTACGATTAAACTTTGAACTTGGCAAATCTCGAGTTTAATTCGTTATCCTCCAGTTTAAAGCAACTGAGTGTTAATGTAAGAATTCGTGTATGTTACTGGGTTAATGTCGAGATCAGTCGGTTTTCCTTGCTAATTGTTAAGGTTTTGTTCTGTTTTCCATTGGAATGCTGTGATTAAGTCGTCTTTTGGGTCTATTTCCATCCGTTCTTCTTCTATAATTTATTCCAAATACTCTTGTCTTTCAATCACAGCAAGCAAAACTCTTCCCAAACCTGTTGTGTTACACTGTTGGAACTTTCTGGTCTCTCGCTTTTACGATAGTTCTTATAACTTTTTTTTTCATTTATTTTTTAGTTTTTTAGTTTTAGTTTTTATTTCAATCGTTGTCGCTAATATTCTTGATTTTTTGATATTTTTCCTCTCTTTAATTTTTTCCAGTATAGCTTTTGTGCGCGGTTTTATCACTTTTTGCGCTGACAAGATTTTGCTGCCTTGACCACTTTTATGTGGGTGATGTCAGCCTGGATCAGGGGCGGATCCAGCTTTAAAGTCAGGGGGGGGGGTTATGTAGAAAAAATACAGTCTTCTGTTATCTATGAAATTAGAAAAATGATCGTCGT